CAAAATAAGAGATTCTGCCTCAAAAAATAAGGCGGATGGCCCCTAAGGAGCAACACCCAAGGCTGACTCCTGGCATCCACACACATGCATGTACATAAATGTGAACCTGCATATATATACATATATATGCATATATATGCACAATATATATGCACAAACATGCATGCTCTCCCTCCTACAAATATATACTTACAAATTCATAACAAACACACACACACACACACACACACACACACACACACACACACACGCATGCACACACATATATGCACACACACACAGACACACACTGCAAAGGAAAAGAAGCTTTCTGATTACATTATTTCCTCTCAAATCACATGGGATTGGCAATGCACGGCACGGAACTGCCCTCGCAGCAGTTTTGTTGGCAGCAGTGCTCATCGGGGAATGCTTGAGATGTTTCCCAAATTCACTCAGCCTTTTCTCACTTTCTTCAACTCAAAAGAGCAGCTGATGAATGGGGACTGGTTCTTTCTCAGGGCACAGGGTGCCTAATATGAAAGGAGAAAGCAGGGAAGCAGACAGAGGAGGCTATGTGCTCACTAACAGAAGGCCTCAGTGGTGAGTCAGAAGGCAAGGAGCTTGGCAGACCAACCAACTTGAGATCAGTACAATTGGATCGGGAGGAAATCCCTTCAAACTTACTAAGATAGGCTGTGTCCAGACACTGCCTGTGCCTCCCTGGTTCTGTCTCCATGAGGACATTGGGCATCCATTTTCTGAACTAACCTTTCTCTGACTTCAGAACAGAACAGATGGCACGAAGCCACGGAAAAAGAAGTGACAATCTTGTGTCTCTACTATGGACTATTATTTTCCCATAAAATAAATATCCTACATTTTCTAGAAAGTCTTTTGAGTGAATATGGGTTGGAAACTAAGTTTTCTAAGAGGATGGAGCCATGTAAGTATGAGAAAATTGCCAGGTACGGTAACACACACCTGTAATTCCTGTACTCAGGAGGCTGAAGTGGGAGGGTCACAAGTTCAAGGCCAGCCTAAACTACATGGTGAATTTTAGGCCAGCTTGAGACAAAGCAAGACCTTGTCTCAAAAACAAAAATAACCAAATGTATGAAGAAATTGTTTTAAGAGGAAATATATACATATATATCGTCTGAAAATAGAAGTATAGTTTATGAACAAAGACTATAGTGACCTCAGAAAACCTTAAATCAAAGCAAAACTGCATTGTAGGAGTCTGTGATAATTCTGGTGCCTGCAAAAAAAATGACAGCATGTTGGAAACATCCTTTGAGGGCAAAAAGGACACTATATTTCTGTATTTGGTCATATCTGACTTCATGCCAGTAAAACTGTCTACCTACTTCTAAGGGTACCAACTGATGTCACACCTCCAAGTCACTGGCTTTCCATACATGAGCAACCTCATTTACAACACCACAGATTTAGCAGCTCCACATAATCCCATCACTTCCTCAAACTCCAGCCTTCAGATGGAATCAATTAGTGGGGGAGTAAGCCAGGAAGGAGGGAAAAAAAATAATGGGGAATGTGGATAAGAGACTCCATGGAGACCTGGGTAAAGTCTTACACCAAGGGACAAGAGAGTGGTAAGGCTGGGCATCGAGGTCCTCTTTAAGTCCAACACTGGAGACAAGTAGATCTCTATGAGTCTGAGGCTAGCCTAGTCTACATAGTGGGCTCCAGGCCAGCCAAGGCTGTCTCACAAAGAGGGGTGGGGGTA